ACTCCAATGCACATGGTTTACACCAAAAGGGGAAAGAGAGGCCCAACCACCACCAAGTGAAGGAAGTTTGTTATACCAACTTGCTATTAACGGACTATTTAGGATTGATAACTCGGCTTGAGGTTATTACATATAGACATCAACTAATATATATGTAAAGAACAGAAGAGAGGGGTGGGGGACATCATGAATTTATTATGAAAAATATTCTCTGTTTAGAGTAGGAGAGAGGTAGCCTATAGAATTGTTGTTTTTACCTTTTATTGTTGCATATTGTAACGAGACCTTGTATGTTGAAAGACATCAATAAAGAATCACCAATTCTCATACTTCTTATTTTCTACCTTACTCGCCATTCCTTTTCCATTTCTTCTCTATCCGATTGTGGTGCTCTATCATTTTGGTATCAAAGCATTAATCCCTTTGGGTAATGCCTGCTACTCGATGGAGTCTCGAATGGAACAAGTTGAGAATGAGATCAAGTGTATACCTATATCGAAGGATGATGTGGTTAATCTAAAGATTTCCATGGCTATGGTTGCTCAACATTTAAAGGATATTTACCATCTCTTCTCTAAACAACAAAGAGCAAAAGTTAATGATCAAGTTGAGGCAAGCTATGCTAGAGGTCGGGGTAACGGTGACTCCGAGTCGAGTTATGGACATTATCGCTACCGTAGAGGTGGTCATCGTGGCTGAAAAGATCTAGGACGAGGATAAGTTTCCACGAAAACTAGAACTCTCATCATTTGGAGGAACGGACACGATGCTTTGATTTTTGAGCGAGAAAATGCTTCTCCATGAATCGATTAATCGAAGGGGACAAACTAGAGGCGATTGAAGTTTATTTTGAAGGAGAAGTACGAGCTTGGTTGAGATTCGAAAAGAGAGAGAGATTGTTCACCACCTAGAATAAGCTGAAAGTGTGGATGTTGCAAAGGTTCTCGAGGCTAGAGGAGGGGTCGCATTGCACTAATTCTTTATCATTAAACAAACGAGGACTATTACAAAATATTGAGAAATTTTTGAGATGTTAGCAACCTCTATTATAAAGCCGAGAGAAGACACGATGATCGTAGTGTTCATCAATGGCTTAGATGAACACATAAAGGCCGAGCGTTTCTTGTTAAACCTATGAGCTCGAAGAAATCCATCCAGGTTACGACTGAATTAAAAGGAAGAACCAAATAATCAACCCAACACCCATGCCTAAAGAGCTCGTTTTAATCCACTATAAGCCCGACCCCAAAAGCATTTTATAGACTCCCTATAAACCCAATAATGTTGTGTACCTAGATTCATTTAACCCCTCCATCAACACATTCCATAATCACCATTAAAAAACATGATCGACTACCCACATCCGGACAAACCCATACCAACTCGACCGTAAACACCACACCCATACCTCAACTCCTTCCCAATTCAAGAGGCCGACTACGGATGAAGCTCAAACTAAGAAGGAGAAAGGGCTTTGTTATAGATGTGATGAGAGATGGTAGATTGGACATCGTTGTAAAAATAAGAAGCTTCATATGTTACTAGTCGGTAAAGATATTAAGGGTAATGATAAATTGAAAGATGCTTTAGCTACTAAAGAGCTAATCGAAGCCGATTTAGATGGTGTAGAGCTATCCTTAAACTCAATGGTGGGACTTTCCGAACCATGCACCTTAAAGATAGGAGGTAAGATAATGGGTATTGATGTTGTTGTGTTGATTGATTGTGGGGTGACTCATAACTTCATCTCTCAATCCTTGGTGGAGAAGTTAAACATACCAATCTCGGGTACGTTGAACTATAGGGTTGTAGTAGGAAATGGCCAATAGATGAAAGGGAAGGGAATTTGTAAGGGTGTAGTATTGCAGTTATAAGAGTTTACCATTGTTAAGGATTACTTACCATTGATAATGAAAAGCACCAATGTTATTCCGAGGGTAAAATGGCTCACAACTTTAAGGGTTACATAAGACTATTGGAAACACTTAACCATGACATGTGAGTTACGAAGGAAACGGATGGTTTTACGGGGTGAACCAAGTTTAAGCAAGGCTTTGGTTTTTTTAAAATCAATGGTCAATACTATTCAGCAAAAAGGAGAAAGGATGTTGTTCGAGTTTTGTCATGTCTCGGCACAAGAAGAATCAAGGGATAGTTGCAAGGTTTTTCAAATCAATTCTTTGTTGGGAAAGTTTAAAGACTTGTTTAACACCTCAACCGAGTTGCCTTTCACTAAGGAATTTGATCACTCAATCATCCTCGAGGAGGGCATCGAGCCGATAAATATAGATCCTTATCGCTATCCCCACATCTAGAAAAATAAGATTGAGAGACTAATGGAAGAGATGTTGGAGGTAGGGGTCATTAGACCAAGTACTAGTCCCTTCTTAAGTCCAATGCTCCTAGTGAAGAAGAAAGACGAGAGTTAGCGATTTTGTATCGACTACGGAGCTTTGAAAAAAGCTATAGTTCCCGATGGGTTTCCTATCCCCAACATTAATGAACTACTTGATGAGCTTAATAGAGCACAAGTTTTTTCGAAACTTGACCTTAGATTAGGATACCATCAAATAAGGATGTAGCGAAAAGGCATCCATAAGATCGCCTTCGAACACATGAGGGACACTATGAGTTTCGGTCATGCTATTTAGATAGACTAACGCCCGACCACGTTTTAAACACCGATGAATTCGATCTTTAAAGGCATTATTCGGAGGCATGAGCTAGTGTTTTTTGATGATATATTAGTCTATAGTGCTTCTTTGCCTAATCATGTAGTACACTTGAGATAAGTTTTAACTATTTTATAGCGACATCAATTATTTGTAAACCTAAAGAAGTGTTGTTTTGCTTAGGATCAACTAGAGTACCCGAGCCATATTATTTTGAGGGAAGGAGTTAGGGCCAACCCCGAGAAGGTCCGCGCCATGGATGAATGGCCCATCCCGAAAAACTTAAAAGAGCTCTACGATTTTCTAGGCCTCACGGAATACTATCGGAGATTTGTTCATGATTATGGCACGATTGCAACCCTTTTTATTCGGCTTTTAAAGAAGGATTGTTTTGTTTGGGGGGAGGAAGCAACCATGACGAGTACAATAGTTGAAAAATACCATGAAGTCAATCCCCATTTTGGCACTACCTAACTTTGGTGAGAGCTTTTTAGTTGAGATGGTCGCTTCGGGGATAGGTGTAGGGGCGTCTTATCTCGAGCATGGTAGACCAATCGTATTCTTTTGCCAAACTTTGATTGGAAGAGCTCGCCTCAAATCTATCTATGAATGAGAATTAATGCCCATCATGCTTACTATCTAGAAATGGTGCCACTACTTTTTGGGAAGACATTTTCTTATCCGAACCGATCGGTAGATCCTTCGATACTTGCTTGAGCGAGAGATTGGTTGCATCGGAGCACCAAAAATGGCTCACTAAGCTCTTGGGGTATGACTTTGAGATTTAATAAAGAATGGGTTAAGAAAACCAAGCTGCATATGCCCTTTCTAGGGTATCTACCATGGTTGAAAATCACTCTATTTCGATCTCGTGCTATTGGATTGGGCCACAATTCCTTCAAAAATTAGCCAAAATCAACTTTTACAGGAGGTGATTAACAAACTCAAGGTAGACATGGATTCTAAGCTCGGTGGACCCTTCATCATGGGCACTTATGATACAAGGGACGAGTAGTAATCCTCGTCACTTCTTCTCTAAAATTCAACCTCTTAACCGAGTTTCATGGCACTCTTTTGGGTTGTCATGGTATATTTTAAAAAACTTACAAACTGGTTTTCCATGAATTATATTATGAGGGTCTAAAAACGGATGTAAAGAATTTTATTGCCTCTTGTCAAGTATGCCAACGGAACAAAGATGAGACATTGTCTCCAATCGAATTACTCCGACCCCTTCCAAGTGCTATATACCATTTGGGAGGACATTTCAATGGACTTCGTGGAAGGCTTGCCTAAATCCTATGGGTTTGATTCTATTTTGGTGGTAGTGAATTGGTTGAGCAAATACATTCATTTCATCCCTTTAAAGCATCCTTACACGGCTCAAAAGGTGACGGACGAGTTCTTGTCCAATGTGGTCAAGCTATATGGGTTTTCCCGATCTTTTGTGTTGGATTGAGACAAGATTTTTTTGAGTCATTTTTTAATGGAGTTGTTTCGTTTGTAGCATACCTTGTTAAACCAAAGTATTGCTTACCACCCACAAGCTGATGGCCAAAGTGAAGTAGTTAATAGGTGCTTGGAGACTTATCTTTGTTGCTTTGTGAGTTCTCAACCAAAAATGTGATATAAGTGGTCGTCATAGGCGGAGTATTGGTTCAATTCCTCCTATCACACTTCTACTAAATTCACTCCCTTCAAGCTAGTCTATGGTAGAGACCCTCCATCTTGCTTAGGTATGATATTGTAGCTTTTACCCCTAATTCGAGTACTGGAAGATATGTTGCTTAAAAGGGATGCTATAATAGTTGAGTTATGATATCGGTTATTACTTGCCTAGAATTCTATGAAACAAAGAGCCGATCAAAATCACTCGTGAGGTTGAATTTCGGGTTGGTGATCAAGTTTACTTGAAACTCAAGCCTTTTAGGCCGCAATCTCTTTCTCGAAAGATGAACGAGAAGCCTTCCCTTGCTTCTTTGGCCCTTACTAGGTTTTGTAGCGAGTTGGTAAGGTTGCTTATAAGCTTGACCTTCTTAATTCCACCTCTATACACCCCGTTTTTCATGTTTCACAACTCAAATGTGTTGTAGGGGATGCTACTACGATACGGCCTTTTCCTTCTATTTTGAATGACCAAATACGGTGGGTTATGGAGCCCGAGTTTGTGACCAATGCTAGAATGGGCAAGGAGGGATTGGAAGTCTTTGTCAAATGGCACCACCTTCCTAAGTTTGAGGCCGCGTAGGAACCTTATGAACCGATCTTGAAGCGGTTTCTAGAATTCCACCTTGAGGAAGTGTTGGTAAACCTCCGAGTGTGCATGGTCTACACCGGAAGGTGGAAGAGAGGCCCAACTACCACGAAGTGAAGGAAGTTTGTTATTGCCGACTACTATTGATAGACTATTTAGGATTGATAACCTAGTTTGACGTTGTTACATATAGGCATCTATATATATATATATATATATATATATATATATATATATATGGACGAGTAGGAAGGGGTGGGGGACATCATGAATTTGTTATGGAAAATATTCTCTATTGAGAGTAGGAGAGAGGTAGCCTCTAGAATCAATGTCGTTACCTTTTATTATTGCATATTGTAACGGAGACCTTGTATGTTGAAATACATCAATAAAGAATCACCAGTTCTCATACTTATTATTTTCTACCTTACTTTGCCATTCTTTTTCATTTCTTCTCTATCTAGTTATGGTTTCTATCATAAGCCTTCGCGAGATATTTCAACTTGCGGATATCGTTAGGGAGAAACTCAAATTTTATGCAATTTCGTAGGTGCAATTCAATAAGTTTAGATAAACACTTTATTGATGAGGGAATTTCTTTTATTTTCGTTCCATCTAGATACGGCTCCCTAATATTCCTTGAAACTTTTAGAAACTCGGTGATACTTGAGCAACCGGAAAGATCAAGTTTTTCAAGGCATCCCAACTTACAAATCATACTTGGAAGACTTTTTAACCGGTTACAGACCACTTAGATCCAAAGAAATAAGTTTCCTTAGACCACCAATTGAGGAGGGAAGTTCTTCATTGCGGTTCCTTGCAAGTACAAGTACCTCATATTCCTTGAAAAGTCCGAAAACCTGCCGATAGATGAGCAACTTGAGATGTCGGCAATAAGAAGAGATTTCAACAAAAATATTTCTTCGGAAGATACCCAAGGCATTTGCGAGTTCTTTCAAATTTAATACAACAAGTTCACTAAGATCCCCAATTGATTGGGGAAGCTCTTGCATAACGAGTCTCATTTAAATTTAAATACGTCGGTTTCCTTGCAACCTCCGAGCACTTGTTGAGGTTCGAACAACCGGAAAGGTTAAGGGTTATCAATCATCTTGAATTAATTTTCATTTGGTATGAATAGAATCAAGCTCGTGAAGGATTAACTTGATTTGGAAATTATGTTCTATGGTTTGTTTAATGAAGGGTAATTTTTAAAGTTTAATTTAATTCTATATTTTAATTACAAATCTAAAATTTTAGCTAGTCTTTCTTCTTTTGTTTTCTTTTCTTTTTATCAATATTTTGGAATTTAGGCAAGGATAGGTAAAAAGGAAAAAATACCAGTTACGTAAAGGAATGCTATTGTTTCTATGCAAGTAAGACCAGCTACGTAAAGGAATTTAGGCAAGGATAGGTAAAAAGGAAAAAAATACCGGTTACGTAAAGGAATACCAGCTCGTGAGGTTCAAATCTTGTTTTTTATTGATCGAAGCATACATCACAATTAGTTTAATTTTTTATATTAGAGAAAATGGATAAACAAGTACAAAAGCAAGTTACAATGCAAGTAAGACCTTAGCTAAAAAATATATATATCAAACAAATAAACCGTTGACCAAGAACCAAGAGCACATGAGTTCCATCCATATATAAAGGAGCATTATATTTTATAAAAATACTCTATAAAATATACTATGAGCCCTAAAAAAAAAGTAATCATCATTCATACAATGAAGAGAAAAAACTCCCATTTAAGCTTGTAGAGTTGTAAATTCTTATTAAAATTGTAGGAGTTCGACTTTTTTGGTATGAAGAGTTAGCTCAATAAATTACAACTCTTCACACAAGGTCACGATCCTAGTTTCGGGGTCTTTAATATTCTTATTCATTTGAAAACTTTCATCGAAAGAGAGTTAAAGGGATTGCATAATTTTTGTAGAGAAAAAGTAGGATGCGAGCTAAAATCCTGTTGAGTTAAGTGAACTTGCAACTATGTGAGTGGACTTCAATGAGGCTGTACTCGAATTCTTAAATAGTCCAATAGATTTTTGGAAGAGTTTAGCATTTAAAAAAATCTCAAAAGATACTAATATGATTCATAGAATGAAGGTTTAAAATAGTAGATTTTAAAAAGACTTTTAGGTTAGATGGTGAAAGAGTGTCTTTTTGAAAAGAAAAAAAAAGATAAGGGAAATTTTAAAGAATAAGAAGAGTTTGTTGTGGAGATAAGAGATGCACAATGATGAGACATTTCTTAATTGGTATATTTTTATATTTTTGCAATAAATAAGTCCGTAAAGGTTGAAAATGCGTGTTTATAACGAATAAATTAGAATGCACGTTACACCTTGAAAATTAAAAGTTAATAATTGAATACATGAATTATTATTTTCATACGTGAGAAGGACTTTCATGCATAGAAAGAAGAAAGAGAGATGGTATATCCAAATTTCAAACTAGGCCTAGTAATTTGATTTTACATAAGAGGCCTATCAGTTAATTTATTAGGTGATTTGCTTGGACTAAAAAACTTACTAATCATGGACTCTTTAATTAAAAAAAGCAAGTATAAAAAGATAAACATAAAGAATAACTTTTTAACCAATAACTTACTAATCATATACTCTTTAATTAAACAAAGCAATTATAAGAAGATAAACATAAAGAATGATTTTAAAAAAAATCATGGAAAAGAGTAGGCGATTACAAAAGAAAATAGGACATAATCATAACGAGTTGTGAAGAAATGTAGAGTATTGCAAGGCAATGTAGGCGATTGCAAAGGAACATGAAGCATTACGAAAGATTATGGAAGAACAAGAAGTCTATAAATACAAATTATAGTAAGAGAAAACACACCAACACGCATACAAATAAACTCAAGAATACTTGCAATTTGCCAATAGCTTTTAAAGCATTCTCCAAAATTTCAACACTTTTGAAATTTATTAGGCTAATAGTAATTCATAGGTAGTAACCAACTAGGCTAACGAGTTTGTGCTTTAGCTCCTATCTTATAACTACGGCATGTGATTGTGATCTATGAGAGCTAGATTCTTGTGCAACCTAGTTGGTTGCCCGCGCTACGTTACGGGTCCGTTCGAACAAAACCATTTTAAAATTTTAAAATTTTTTTAATTATAATTTCTTATTTAATTAATTTTTTAAATATTTTTTATAATTTTTTTGTTTAAAAAAAACATAAATCATTCTTCTTTATGGATTGATTTTAACTAAAATACTAATCAAAAATTAAAAAAACTTTAAAAATATATTTTTCATAATATTGTATTTCAAAAAATAAAATTATAATTAATAGATAGACTTTTATAAAAACTAACAAATGAAAAATAAATTTCTTATTTAATATTGATGAGAAGATTAATTTTTAAAAGTATTCACGCAACGTTGTGAGTAGATAGAATAAAATTATTTTAAATTTTTTCAAATTTTTTAATTATTTTTTAATTTAATTATTACTATTTTTATATTTTTCATAAAATTTCTGCTAAAAAAATGATTTATTTTTATTTATTTAGGGATTTCTAAATAAAAACTTGTGATATATAATTTAAACCTAAAATATTAATTAAGAATTTAAAAAGAAATAATTTAAACATATATATTTTATATAAGAATATACCCAAAAATAAAGTTACAATTAATGTATAGAATTACATAAAAAATAATTAATGAAAAAATAAAATTTTATTCTTATTTAATGTTGATGAGAAGATTATTTTTTTAAAAAAGTATATACATTTGATCTATATATATGTTATATAATCATCGGTTTATGTGAAAGAAATAACAAAAAAAAAAGTAACGATTGATTTTTAAAATTTTTTACACCCAATTAAATAAAAATAATAATATACACTTATGGAAAAAAATCAAGTAAAAAACCAAAGGAAAAAAAAGGCATGTAGTGCATCATCTAGGAATTAAAATTTTTATTTTAAAATTTAAGGGATCAAAATGAAATAAATTAAAAATTACAAAAAAAAACATAAGAAAAAAAGTAAGAGTGAAAAAACAAAAAACACCTAAGAGTGAATGGTACACTCGTGAGGGTAAAAAAAAAAAAGGAGTGGATAGTACATTGTGAAGGTAAAAAAAAAAAAAAGAGTGAACATCACGAGGGGATAACGGTGTTGCTATAAAAACAAATACTTTAAAAAGATATTGTTTTATAAGAATATATCAAAAAAATAAAGTTACAATTAATGTATAGACTTGTATAAAAATTAACCAATGAAAAAATAAAATTTTATTCTTACTTAATATTGATGAGAATATTTGTTTTAAAGTGTATATATATATATATATATATATATATATATATATATATATATCTTTTATTTTCTATTGGTATCAAAGCTCGGTAGGATTGAGATTAGTCTTAAATCTATATTTTAATTTCCATTAATTCACTTATTCCTACGTTGTTTTGGGAAGAGTGGTCCTGGTCATAAGTCCTAAGAAGGTCTGTAAATTCGTTGGTTTTGCTCATTCTAGAGTAGAGAATGATTTGAAGTAATAATTTTAAAATATAGATCTATTTTCTAGAACTCAATCTATCTCTAGCTCTTCTACCTCCGGAATGGGGAAAAAGATAGTAAATAGTGAAGAATTAATAATTGAAATTTTTGAAAAAACAATTGATGATTGGTAAATCCCTAGGGTACAAAGAGACCAAAATTACAAACAAAGCAAATTTAGTTTATTTTCAAAAACTGATTATACAATCAAAACCGAAGAAAGAGATATACATTTAACAAAAGCTGTTTGAAACAATTAAACTTTTCTCACAAACATAAAGAAAAGAAGTACAACTACATTCATATTGGGTTAGTTCAAGTAGATATAAAACCCCTCATAAAAGAAGGATTAAATACATCAATCCTTACCGTTCTTAGAGATGCCCGATTATATGATTTTCAAGACTTTTTACTTAGTTACGTAGAATCTAGCCTTTGTAATGATCCAATTTCCTTTGATTGCTATCCAAATTTAACAATCTCTTTAAAAGACAAAAATATTCTTGATTGTCTTGTCTTCCAAATCAAAACCCATAACTACAAAATGAATATAAGATCTATACCGATTGCTATAATTTACAAACTCCACTACAAAACTATGGTTACTCGCTTTTGCTTCAAGGCCCTCATCCAAAGCCAAAAAGGAGAAGCCATGCTTTTACAAACCGATCTAACTAGATCCAATGCCGTGATTCCAAACCTATAAAATGGAGAGACATTTCTCTCCTAGAAGAATGGATCCTCGAAGGAGCCACAAGACCCGAAACATCATATCCTACAAGTCCGAACACAAAATTAAAAGACATCGGCCAATATCCCGATGGTAGGGTTAAACTCTCATTCGCTAGAAAATCTACGAGCTTTAGGTCTTCGACAATGCTTCTTCTTTAGATACCATGGACCTAGGTAGAATTTCAAAACTCCCTTCTACAAGTTTTTGTATTTCTCAATTTTACCTAAAAGTTTTGATTTATTTCAATTTTTTCCCACACCGTTCATTTTTGTTCAAATCAACCCCCATATTTTTTATATTCCCCTTCTATCCATTTTTTTTGTTAAGTGTGTAAATTTTTGTTTCGTCCCCGAAGTTTATAAAATATCCTTCTAAGTTCCAACACTACATTACTCATGGAGTGTTTGATAAAACTAAAAATTAAGTGCTGAATTTGTTTAAGTATTAAATTTTAAGTATTGAATAATTAAATACTAAATATGTTCCTGATAAGTTGTTTGATATTTATTGAAAATTAAGCACTAGATATAATAAGTTTGTTTGATAAGTACTCGTTGCTGAACATATTAAGATTATATACATGACAATTTTAACCTTGTAATTGTAACATGATATTTTTTAACACAAATAAAAAAATATATATAGATGTGTTTGTATGTACAAATAAATAAATAAATAATCAATAAAAATGATTATTAATTAAAAAAAATAGATACTATTTAAGATAACATTAATTGGAGTTTCAAATTTC